GTTATTATTAAAGTCAGTGAAGGGTTTGGTTGTGTATCTGAGGTCTTGGCTGGATCAGGAATCCAGCGGGTCTGTGGGTCACCTGGAGCAGGATTGGGAACCAGTAGTCTATAGAAACGTTGCTGCATTATCAAGTATTTAGGAGAGATGTTGACAAAATAGCCTTCGTTTATCACAGCTGCTGCCCCTCTAATTCCGTCACAGGGAGACGACCAATTAAAGCTGGTCTTAAAATAACACCCCTTAGCTCATCTCTCCTCTGACACACACTCACACTGTCTTATTATTTACAGGACGTGCAAGACATGGAACTGTCCTGCCATCTTGTAAACCACTACGCTCGGTCCCTGTCTGAAGTGTTTGTTTTTCTGCTGCCCTCCCCTGCCTCGTCTCTTAGTAACGGTGACCTCTCTTCCCCTGCTTATCCAAAGCTCCGTGACTCACTTTTACGGCATCACTATCGCCCTGCTGCTCCCACGCAAGGCTTCTCCACTTCATGCTCCTGTCTCGTCCTCGGGGAGGTCCCCTGAACCCGCTCGCCTGCTTCTGCTCTTATTCTTCCCCTCTTACAGCCCTGCAGGGGACCCAGTGCCCAAACGTGCCGTCACTAGACCCACTTCTTCAACTTCAACCTAGAAATCCTGCTTCTTCTTCACCTCATCACATACTGTGATGATGATTTTGGGTGGCACGGTGGTGCAAGCCTAAATGAGGTGCACACAATTACTTAGACGAGTCCAAAATCTATAGAATTCTAAATTCTAAAGAAGTCTCTTGTCTTTGTGGGGGAAAAAAGCAAATTAGCATATTTTACGCCTGTAAACCGGCAGACTAGCTCTATGGCTCCATCTAGTGGCAGAATGTTTGATTGCAATGAGCACCTCCGCCTGATCACACTGCTATCCAGATGTCAAAATCTATTTCCTTATAATAATGATATCTATATTATATTTATCTTTCAGCTATTTCCCTCAGCCACCTTTTCTTTTCCTCATATATTATTTCACAATATTTTCATTTTGCAGCATTACTATGTTATTTTCTCTATGATCCCTGTCATTTTTCTCATAGTTCTATTTCTTACGGATCCTTCTCCATCTTAACTGAGTTGCATTCCAATGCTTTCTTTGAATGGATAACATTTAGTTTGCATATGTCTCTTTGTGTGATGAAGACCACCAAGACTACCTTACAGTTTTTACAGAGGAAAAAAAACTGTAAAGGAGCTTAATGTCCACAAAATGAAACTCTGGAAATAAAATGTCTGGTAAAAAAAATGGTACACGTTATAGACCTTTTCAATAAAATTGATCACAATCAATGTATTTTAAGAATAGTTTATTAAGAGAAATACTAAATCAAACAGACAACTTCCAAAGTATCAATTGATATACTTTATACACACAATTCTCCTGAAGAAGAGAATTTCTTAGTGAGTCACAACAATCGGCGTCATTGATCTTCACAATTAGAAAATAGGTGCAAACTGCTACAATCCTTCCACAGGCGTAACAAAACAACAGAACACATTACAGCACATTGAAAACGGGACAGAAGAGAATAAAAGTGTGTTATGTCAGGGCACATGGAAAGGCACAAGAGACTCTTGACTAGTACTATACATCCTATATGTTGGTTGAGAAAATGAATAATAAAAATATTTTTATATTAAAGTATGTTACTGTTGATTTAATTTTTCAGTAGTACTGTCTGAAAGAGAAAAAAAAATGGGAAAACACTTTCCCCAGGTACTACAAATGGTATACATATGTTAGTTGAACTGGTTTATCAATACTTTCCAAAAAAATTTGATTTTGGATTGTATTTCACTTTTTCTGTTGCTGATGTGCAACGTTTTCCCTAACAAAATATATTCTCTCAGAGAGAGAAGATTCCAGAGCACACTGGTGTGTTAAGCTTCATTCTTTCAGATGTGCAGAATTGTATTTAAATAAAGCATATTAGATTAGGACAGGGATTTTATGGTCGTTTGATACTAGTACAGCTCTGAAAACATATACATCTTGGATAAGAAGGGCCATTTACAGTACCTGACACTGACAACTCTGAGATGAGGTTAATCCTCAAAGTCAGTCACGTCAATTGGAACACAAATCTGGAAGAACCACCTGCTGATTCTAGAACAGTACATCGTGAGGGAACACTTCAGGTGCCTGCTTCTATCTTTTGTGTCCTCTCTTCTCACAAGTCAATGTAAAAGCAAAGAAAATTGCCCAAGACATTCACCACAGCTGTGCTGATATGTGCTGTCAGTGGAAGCACATTTAAATAAGTATTGGGTGGACAAACTTGCAAAATAACTACGGCACTTCTAAAGAGTATTAAAGACTAATTATCACTTTATGTGCAGTAAGGTTTTTCGAACACTAATTCAAAACACAACAAAGAACATAAGAACTATAATAATGATTCTAAACAAGAGGCCATTGTACCACACCTCCTTGTTAGTTAGCAGACTGGAATAGAGGAATTCACATTAACAGGACAAAAAATAATAAAATAAATGCTGACAAGGCCTGTTACACAAGCAAGCAAATTAAGCACTCTTGGTGACATCTCAGTGAAAAGAAAATTAGCCTCAGCACGCACACCCTTGACAAGTGGAGAAATGTTAAGCTTCACAATGAAGATAGGTGGTATGGGATGTAGCCCTAAATCCCATGAAGTATGATGTACAGGATTATTTCAATGGGTGAAGAAAAGGTCGACTACAGTTCATCCTATGAGACATACTACACTCAAACACACATGGCTATTGATGAAATGCTTTTGCTCATGCTTTCACATTTGTAAAAGCCAGACTTGTGTGTATGTAGGATATACAAAGCCTCTGTGAAGCACAGCACAGAGGAAAAAGTAAATGTTGAGGATGCTATTTCCACACAGCAAGCTTACTGTACATTAGCAATATGGTATCCAGCTCTTTTTTGTTTCTTGCAACTTAAAATGGAAGGGACTTTCATACATACAAAAATACTGTACTAAAACAGCAGCATTTTGGCTAGTGACAAAATAAAATATATAAATATTAATATATACAGTACATACTATATAAATATCACAGATCTATATGCAAAGCACTTTGGACAATTAGGACTGTGCAATTACTTTATGTAAATGACTGCCCAGAATAAAAATTCCTATGTACATATTCATACTTTTTAAAAAGCTCTCATTACAAACCCACTGTGTATTTCCACTGTATCACACCTTCTACATACCGTTCTAATTGATCCTAAGTCTGTGTAGACTGTGCTTCTTCATTTTTGTGCGTTTCCATAAGAAGTCTGTTTTTCTTGGAATGCATTCAGCATAAAACTGCAAAAGACCCACCTTTTTACTAAAATATTCTTAAGGTTTCTGAACCCAATGACCAGTTTTTAGCATTTTGTGGCGACTGTTTTATATGTATCACCACAGAAGGGAGTAGAGAGGCAAGTTATTGAAGTACTAAACCCCCAGATAAAAAGGCTTCCAACTGATCAATTTGATGATGTGGTGCACTACTCAAAGCAATCTTCAGTTTACTATTGTGGAGTACAGTTAATCAAGTGAAAAGAGGGAAGCAAAAATTCAGTAAAACATGGGAGAGAGCTTTTCTTTCTATTTTTAATCTCCTACCCTCAAGATTGTATCAGGTGCATGGTATTTTCCCCAAATGCAAGACCAGCATTTACTGCCACTGAGGTAATAGCACATTCATTTGAGAGATCAGTCTCCAGCCTTTCCCAACAAATAACAAATCTCTCGCACTTCAGTCATACTTGTGGAAAAGTGCTTCTGGGTAAAACCCACCACCGGCATGTGGTCTGACAGGTTAGTGGTGCTGCTGCTACAAAAGCCCTGAAATTGCCGTGTTCGAGGTAAATAAACAGTTTTTCATTTTAAGGAGGAAAATATAATTGCATCGTGTGTAAAATTCTTCTGTCTGAATCTCACGATCCAAGGAAGCAATAACGTTCAGGACTCCCAGTTTGAGAAAAAAAAAATGGGTATTCAAACCTTGTTATTATAAAGTAATCTCCCTTTTTACCAAAAGTTTAGCGTACACCATCCCTTTAGCGTACACTTCCCTGCTCTGCTGGCTCATTACTGCAGGCATATTTCTTATAGCTCACAAACAGTGCTTCCTCAGTCTTAACAATTGTTCCTTGTCAGTGCTCCGCTTGCGTAGTGCGCTGCATACAGATTATATTGCACGAAGGTTGTGTGTCACCCGGGACTTCAGGCCCATCTTCCACTGGAGACGAAGCTCCGGCTGAAGGAGAAGCTGACGTCCGAGCCCTTCTGCTTCCCCCACGCGCCGAACGGCACGACGATTATGGTGCTGTTGTCTTCCGAGCCATACTGGAGGGCCTGGGAGAGGGAACAGACATAACCAGAGCCTGGCAGGAACTTGGGCCTTGAATTTCAGGGGTTACTTCCCCTCCCCTTAACTATTACATCAGATACAACAGCCAATAACATCGATCAGGTCATATCATTACGTATCAGACGTGACATGAGGTTCAAGTTGTCAGTCACATTAAATGCCGAGTATACATCAATACATCTATCATGTGCAAAGGTCGTGTACAAATGGCTTAATCATTAAAGGTGGCATTGACTGTAAGCCCCACAGTCTAGACTTGACTGGTTTTGGCGTGAGCTCCGTCATAAGCTGAGCAGCTCACAACTGACTAAGCCTCTTGCGTCTCACTCAATGGGGCAGAGAGGCTTGCGATGGCCCGGCTAACAAAAGCTTGCTGTACAGCAGTGCACCCTGGGATAGTTGGCCAGCTGCCTGTTGGCGCTTGCAGTACTGTCAGTGAGAGACAGAACACTTCTCCAGTCAGTGCTAAGATTCTTGTAAGGCACAGGTTGGCTTGCCAAATAGCATGCAGCTTGGCAATGAACAGTGTAGTGGACAGTGTATATAGTATATAGTACAGTATATAGTATATAGTTCTTGATCTTCTCATGCAGTTGTAAAGCTGATTACCAAAGTGCTAATTCCATCCTTAAAGTGTGTGCACCAGAAAGATTACTGAACTGAAACATGAATTTTGAAGTTAAGGACAAGTCGTGCGGAACAGCTGTCTTGGAACCTGGGCTTACTCACTCTCACCTGTTCAGAGATAACCTGAGCGGCTTCTGTGGGGTCATGGCACTGATTGATGACATCGCAGATCTCCTGGCTGTTCATGATGAAGTTGATCCCGTCTGTGGTCAGTGCCAGGAAGGAGTCGTGAGCATGATGCAGCTGAAGAGATTTAAAAATCACGTCCTACTTTAGTTATCCTTAAGCCACCATGGAAAAATAATACAATCTCACACTCACAATTCAGTTTGTTTTTCTCCTTTCTTGTAACGGCAGATGACAACATGCACTATGCATCGAACGTTGAAATAACTATCAATCATCAAAAAAAGTTGATAAATATTAAACTCAGGAGTGACAGCAGCATTTCCAACTTGGAGCCTGATCTTGTCAGATCTCAGAAACAAGGCTGAGCTCAGCGAGTACTGGGATGGGAGATCTCTAGAGGAAAGTCAGCTTGATGCTGTGTAGCTGGCACTGCTCCCGAAGAATCAGTGTTTCCAAACCAATGCCCAAGTATGGTGAAAAGGCACTGTGCTGTAGGAGGTGCCAAATCAAGGTCTTGATTGCTTGTTGTCCTGGCTAAATTTCCCATTCTGATCTCACACAATCTTGCCTGCCTAAAGTTCCTCCTTAGCTGAGCCGCTGAAGCAGTTTCTCACTTGAGCCACCTGTTCTGCTGTGTACTGGGGCTGCTGGCAGATAATGGCTGCCACCTGTCACCCAAGCGGGTGCTGGGTTTTAGATGTGGACAAAGTGAGACCCGTCTGTATGTACAGTATGCAATTATTAATATATTACCAAGTCGAAAAAATACAACTCCAAGGTGAAACACGAATCTGAGTTCTTCTGGGCCGTGACGGCCAGCGATAAGACTGGAACCACCAGCGTTAGCGTGACCTTCGCCGCAAGAATGTGAGCTGTCTAAAGCTGCCTTAATATCAGGAGAAACCCCAGCAGAGAAAACATACTCCCCACCAAGCACACGTAAGACTCACCGTAATCCTCTTGGTCTCAGGCTCCGCGATCACTCCTATACGCTTCAAGTCAAAGTCCCCAATGCTTCGGGTCATGGCCAGCCTGCCATTGACGTGAGGCTGCCCAAGGCTGTTCCAGGCCACAAAGCCACCACTCTTTTTTATCCTAAATAACAGAATACAACGACGCACATTAGAAAAACTGCAGGCTGCCAGATCAGTAATCTCTGCCTCAAACACTGACCCATGCTGATGGGTTGATTTTTTTTTTTTTGCACAGTTCGTGCTGACTTGTGTTTAAGTTGTATGTTATTTAACTTTATTGTTGTTGCGGCGGCTGTTCTGTTCTGTGTTTACGTTTTGGTGTTTCCTTGATGTCTTTGTATTGGAGCATGCTTGCAAGTAAGCATCTCATCGCACTTTGTGCATTTGACAAACTGAACTGAACCCATCCTTTCCAGATTCCAACTCTCATTTCCAAAATTGCCCCATTACGTTCACAACTTTTCTTTGTCTCATAATACTAAAATAATATGAAGATGGTCAGAATTTGCTTAGATCTTTCAGTTTAATTTACCAGTGACACTGTCTTTTTTGGGGAATATTCCAGGAAACTTAGCGTGCAGCTTTAGAAATGGGGGCATGTATTTTTACAACAAAGAACAGCAAAATAGTCTAACATCTCAGAAGAGAATCAGAGATAAAGTCTCTGTCACTGTTCTTACAAATTGTAAGACTCAAAAACTCAAAAAGCATGAAGACTATGCAAGCGCAAATGTTTTACATGCATTCAGAGAGGACTAAAGCGTTTGGGTTAAACCACTCAAGGACTAAAATTGTGAGAACTGCGTTAATGTGCACTGTAAACTTATCTGTACTCAGACAACATTTGCTTACTCATATAAAGCTGATCTAGAGCGCAGTGTCTCCCAGAAAGACAACTGCAAATGAGAGATATAGATAAAAAAATGGGTGTTACTGTAAAAAGGCCATTGTATACCTCAGGAAATATGTTATTTGAGTGTAATGTCTTTTCAGTTAGGTGACTTGAAAAAGAACACTGCTGCTGTAATTGCAAGAAACATGTCATCGAAATGCTGCATTCTACAGGGACAGGTGTATTTATTGCTAAATCATGTGAATCATTACTATTGCACACGGAGAGAGGCCACTCAGCTATTGTGCAGCTCATTAAGGTACATTTTTAAGATAAATTTAGGTTTGCCACCGCAGAGGATTTGAATACAATGCGGTTGTGATTGTTCCACATTAATGATATAGTTGCTTCATACTTTTTTTTAAATTTTGAATATGTATAATCGGCTGGGAGTATAAAAAATATTGACTGCAATTTCAAAGCATCACTGCTGCAAGCTCTAAAGCAGCAGGATGTGAAAAAAAGCCACTCAGGGCCTGAATACACGCAAGGCAGCGTAGATCTGCCTCCCGAGAGGCGGTTCTAGAGGCTGTGCAGTTCATTTTGATTTGGGTTAATTATTTCTCCTGCCTTCAGCTTCCCAAGCACCCTTTTGCTCCAGCGGGCATCCTGCTGTGCCCGTGCCTTCGGCCCCGATTTTGTGCCCTAACTCCCCACATCCCCTGGCAGAGCTGGATACAAACACAGGCTTTAAATCGCTGCGGCGGCGAAGGCCCCACAGCCCCTGCGGGTCGGCCGTGAACGAATTCCAAGGCGGGACGCCCGCCCCCCCCCCGACCTGTCCTTCTCGTCCTTCCTCTCCGGAGTGTGGTCCACCGTTAGCTTGTAGGCCTTCCCCTTGCGGCACAGCAGGGCCCGGCTGTCCCCCACGCTGGCCACCACCAGCTCGATCCCGTCTCGCAGCAGGGCCACGGTGGCTGTGGTGCCAGCGCTCAGCAGGGAGGCTGGAGGCAGAGACGCAGGCCGGTCAGCGGGGGCGGGGGGGGGCCTGCCCGCGCTCCAGCAGGGGCGCAACAGCACGGCCTCAAACAGCTCTGTCAGAGCCGCGCCAAGAGACAACACAACCAAAAACGAGACCAAACAAAACGAGGGCTGGGGGAGGGAGGGGCGGTGGTCGAGGGAGTGTTAACAGATTAAAAGTAGATTCAGAGGAGCTCTTAATTCAAGAGGCAAAGAATGCATGCACACTACCTCGAGGTTTGAAAGGAAACGTTTACACCAGGGTTTGGGACAGGTGCAGCCGTGTTACAACAAGGAGCCATCGTGAGCTGATTGATCTTTTCGCATCTCTTCCTCCCAAAGAGTTCATCTCCAGTTCTGCGCTTTAAACTAAATAAGTGGGCCCGGAAATTACAGGCACTCAGGCCTAGTGCAGTGCAGAACCTAGTGTGGACTTTCCTGCCTTGGTTTCCGGGGGTATTATTGAAAAGGTAATTCAATTAGATAATCAGACTGACAAATCAGCTTTTCTTTGATAAATGTACTAGTGTTAGGTATTAAAACAATTGTGGAACGGCTGGGGTGTTATATGGGAAAGAATACTGCCACTTATTGATCAAATTAATAACTCAGTCCTTCAGACCCATCACAGCCAATTAATGCACAGTGATGGCAAACAACAGTTGAAGTTGAATTGTCCTCTATTCTTAATCCTTTCATTAGAACGTACTACTTTTCAAAAGATTTATCCACTTTCCAATATCGTGAACTCGCCACACTACTGAATTAAGTAATTAAGTGGAAAGGTAGCATCTTTAAACCCTGATGTAAAACAGGTGGAAGGATGGTGAGAAAAATGTGGGTTACACTATGTTAAGAAAACAAAATCACTAAGGTGTTGAATTTTAGAAAAAGAAAGCAAAGATATAACTGTATAAGTTAGTTAAGAGCAGGCGTTTTTACTGCAGGATGTTAATTGGCCCATTTAACTAAGAAATATGGTACTGCACCATACCTATAACATTAATGTAGCTGAATGCTCTAGTTAGGCCACATTGAAAAAATCAATGACTGATTAAAATAAGAATATTACCCAGCAGCGTGAGGGTAACAGCTTTATAATGGACACAAAGCAAAGACACATTTACTCCTCATTAAGATTACAAGGGATTTATTATCCTTGTGAAAACCTAGAATGAACACTGCCTGTCGTGACCTGGATATTAAAGAGCTGTGCAGATTTGGAGGGCTATAAAAATATTTTAGAACCCCTAAAAAGTAACCTAACACCTATACAAAATGTCTTACTTCCTTCAGCACATACAGCGAGTCTTAACGTAGATAACCCCATCAAAGGAAAAATGCAAAGCACAGCATCAGACCGAGTAAGAAAGGAAGAGGAGGAGAATTTCCTTAAAACAGGAATTTAGCAGCTACCCAATAAAACTGATGAGTATCTTAAATCACATCAGTGGCAATCAAGCCTCAGACAAGAGTTCTCTACATTATGTATAATAGATGTTGTTCATGGTGAAAAAGTGATACTGAAGTATTTTACAATATGCCCTACCATTAAATAATTTATAATTTGTTTCTGATTACCGATACTGTTAAAGGTTTAAAGAAAGGTTTCTGAAGTCAGATGTCCATACAATGCTGTGCTGGATTACCAGTTTGTCTTGAATCTAGCTAGCCTACCACAAAAACTGCTGACCACTTTTTTTTTCCTGGCAAGCCCTTTTTATAAGGTACTACTAGAAACTATCAAGCTAATTTTCTCAGTGAAGCAGGCCAAAACCGAAACATGAGCCTTCCTTCTTAGATCAACATTATTATCCATTTTGTTCGTTGTCACTTCACAGCATTAACATCAGCAATAAAACTGCCCACTCTTGCTTAGTAGACCTAAGGGAAGAGAGGGAGCAGAAGGAGAAATGTCAGCCAGGGCAACAGGTCTCTTGCAAGACATCGTAATTATCCAACTATTCATCTAAACTGTCACTCTTCTACTAGTGTCATAGAAACTGCCAGTGCCAGTTTGGAAGGAGTTCATGTCTCCTTATAAAAATAAGCCAGTTTATGTCTCACTGCAGACAAAACAGCGGTAACATGTACTGTAGTTACATTTATGCAGCAGGACAGACTAATTCCAAAAGTTGTGGTCCAAAGGTGGGGTGGAGCAGGCGAATGGAAGCTGACAATATTGTAGCTCACAGGGTGTCAAGACTGGATGGATAGATGTACAATACTGGAGAATACAATGACTCATAGCACACCCCTTGGACAGCAACTAAGAACAGTTTTTTTCAGTTTTCCAAGAACCTTAGGTATTATGGTATTATCATTATACCTTCCACTTTATTTTACATTATGCTGTCTTATAATGATTAGTTCAAAGGGGATAATATAATGTTCTAGTGTTGAGGTAAATTATGCACCAAGTATAAAGCATATTGTAAGCACACAGGCCTGTTGGGCAATTGTATAGAATATTGCGGACAGACATGAGAAATGTTTGGATTAAATTTATTGTGCCGTCTTCCTTGTGTGAACAATATGTCTCCAGATGTATGCCAAGGGCCTGCTCTAAGCTGTGTGAATCTAGTCATCAAGTTGAATTGATGATGATAAGTGCTGACTTGATCAAATGATAAGTGTTCTACTGCCTTTCAGTTGTTTCCAAGACAGCTCCATAATCTTTACATGGAGACGACAGAGTTGTCAAGGGGATCTGGCACACAAACATTCTCAACAAAACACCAGAGAAACTGAAGACAAAATACGGTGTCAAGGCTGAATTACAGGTATGGGGGAGTCGTGGATTTCGAAGCCATTGGAAATGCCTTCACTTCCTCTGAGGAGATAGTCACTGCAGCAGCTGCCAATCAGAACTCTCCATGCATGAACACAGCAGAGTGGCAGTTTCTATGACAACAAGAGTCGCAGTACAACTACAGTGCCAAGTCAGATTAAAAGTAGGATTCTGCATAATTTAAAAGAAAATAAAAAGACAATTACTGTACTTTTATCAAACTTATCATTTGCTTGACAGTTGGTATTAGAAAGCTAATGGCTTTTTTTTTTGTTGTTTAAGAAAGATCTTAACACTCACTGGGCATTTACTACTGCATGTGTCATCTCAACTACAGTGTGAGAGAGAGAAAAGATGAGGAACCTTCCAGTAGTCCAGGTTAGGAACCGCTGGACTCCTTCACCTGGGACAAAATAAAGCAGTTCTCCTCCCACTGAAGCCCACCAAAAAAGTGTCCGTGGCCTCCAACTCTAGAGACTGTAAGCTGGTCAGCAGCTCTGCTACAAATAACACGCACACAGAGGCAAATAGGAAATTTCACGCGCCGATTCCGGCCAAACATTTTAGACAAATTAGTAAAATAAGATTTTTAAAAAACATCTTTAACACAGGGGTAGTAAGAGCTGCCAAAGAAGGACTACTAGGGTTGCCAACCCCCCCCAGAACTTCTCCGGAGTGCGGAGGAAGATCGATTTCCCATCTGCTGCCTGCAGTAGCACTCTCCTGAGGGCGGATGTGCAGTAGAGGTTCGTAACAGGCTTTCCAAGGTGGAAGTATTGTTTACAGGATTTCTCGTGAGAGTCTAATTCCCTGTCCTAAATCCAGTCTCCATGGAAAACATTTACAACTTTAGAGGCTGGCTCCAATTTAAGAAGGAGTATGTTATTTTAAATAATTTAATCTAAAAATCAAGTAAGGTCTACCCAGCGCTCTTTATAATAAGACTGGAGACTCATGAGACCTCCTAAAAGCAGCACGAAGCTACTTATTGTATTGTAACTCAGAAAATTGCATTAGGTGGAAGAAATTGTGGCTGTTGGCTGTATTGTTTCTCCACAACCATGCAAATCAGAAATGGAGTGCACTTAACACTGCTGACCAAGTAACAATAAACATGATCGAAATTGGGCTTTGATGTTTTTGGGAAACGCACAAGACACAAACCCATCTGTTAAAGTTTCAGAGAGCTACGAGTGCCTAACAGTCCATCACGCCACACAAGGACATTCTCAGGACTGGTACCCCTTAGTTGGCAACCCTTGCATTAGCCATTCTCTGCCTGCTGCTGCTTTTTAGATCATTAGGAGCAACACCAGTATAGATCACTTTAGTCTGTTTTGTTGCAAAGCCAGAGGGAGTGAATTTAGGGTACAGTGTTGTGTCAGTAGTGACATGAGAATAAAACAGCAATGAAATAATAACAACAACAATTCAGTTAACACACTACGTAAATAAATTATGTATTTGTCTTTTATCAGCCAAAAAATAGTATTTTAGAAATATGGACTGTCTGAAACTAGTGCATTGTGCTTCATTTTAAGCTTTAGAAAGTTATTATGAACATATCCATATAAAAACAAGCAAAAATTAAATACCATGTATCTTTCATAAACTATGTATAGTAGACATAATGGTGCTTGATCTTTATGTACAGTTCAATGCAGACATACTGTAGTATCTGTGAAATGTACAGTATGTCAGGATAATTGAGTCAATGTGGTTTCAATGTACAAACTGAACAGAAAAAAGAAAGTGGGTACAGAAATGTCACAGATATCCCCAATATAAGAAATCTCTGTGTACTGTAGTGTCATGATATTTCCATATGTAAACTGTAGTAGCACATTCATTCCTATCATGTGTTAAGAGTCATAAGAGATATTAACTCTGCAGTTCGAAAGAATTAGCTTTAAGTGTAAACATAAACGCTTCTAATTAAAATCAAATCACAGAGATTGCAAGGTTAGACAAAGGAACATTCTCAACCAGTTGTTAAGCACAAAAAGCATTGCAAGAGCATTCCAGCACAGTGCTCTTCTACTGCATGACACTGAGTAACCCTGTATCCCATAGCTACACAGTGCTACACTGTGGCAGGATAATAAAAAAACACAGTATCCTTCTTTCTTTAAAACAGATGCAATTCTTTACGAATAAGCTGTTTTTAATGCCATGATTAAATTTAAAACTTTTACTGAAAATCCCTACAGAAAAACAATTTTGACATTTTAGCTGGAATAGCTTTCTATATTCCGAGGGAACCTTTGCTAATGACTGAAACATCAGTTTTTTATCTTTGATATAAACGTAAAGTAGGTAAAAAAAGGTATTTTTTTATTGGCTAAATCATCTACCCTCCCCTTCAAAATTTACAGGAATGTCTCCCGTGACAGCCAGACAAAATTTAATTTACTGTACACAGTATAGCGCAACACAGTTGTACTGCCAATGTCTGCTCGTACTGCAGACTGTGAATACAAGTTTGCTTTGCTGTATGACATCGGCAGTTTAAGATTTGTTAGAACATTATTTTTGTAAACTACTAAAGAGGGTATGTAAACTGCTGAATGAAATGACGGTGGCCTGAATCAGGTTTTAAAGGCTACATAGAGCCTTTAGTTCACAGCAGCCAGAAAACCCCTTGCAAACTACCAGATAAATTCTCATTCATATATCAGATTACTGCATGTGTATATAAACCACCAAACTATAAGACACAACATTTCTTTCCTAACTGTTGTTTTACCAACTCATTCGTCACAGTAGCAAGATGCTTTTCTTCATACATACCATCAGCAGAGAGGTGCACGTGTCTTGCCAGGGCTTTATCAATTTCCAGGAATGCTTTGGCCAAAACCACCTCCAGATTCTCCTCTTCTGCTACCAGATCTCTAAAATGGCAAAGGTTCATGCACAAGTAAATAAAATATCCCAACAAATGTGCGAGGAGCAGTTTTTATTCCAGGCGTATCCATCACACCAAGATTCACATTCTGAGCCAGCCCAGAAGGCTGTAAAATAGAGAACCGTGTATTTCTATATCAGACATTTTCCTGTTTATTTCCAACATATAGAAGTGCTGACTATGTTAATGGCATACTCCAGTTTCCACGGCTATTAATGGAATAGACGTACAACATGGAGAGTATGGAAAATAAGAACAAAGGATGGAAATTCATTATATACTGAACTTCGAAAGAAACATCACTTATAACTGCAGCAAATTCACATAGTTACTATGAAGAAAATGGCAAAAACATTGCACTGCATTGACATTGTATTGAACAGACGTGCCACAGGTTAATTCGTTGGTCTGTTTAATATTTATTATCAGCCAGGAGTCTTTCTTTGGAAATGACAGGATAGGAGTCTATATGCACACTGTTGCAAGCAATACAAACTGTGCATCTGCAGTGAATGCTTCTGGCAGCAGGTTGCCCTTTCTTGTAGAATACTGTTCCATTCCTCTCACACAGCCTGCACAAGCATGGAGTGAATCCGTTCACCGATCTCTGAGCCCTAGCCTGAGCCACACACATCTTAAATCTCTTCTACAATGTTTTGCATTGCCCTGTCTTTCTAGATTATCTTGGAATATATATAAGTACTGGTTAAGAAAAATGTCTAAAATCTCAGCTGGAATGGTCATGTGCCCTAAGACTGAACTGATCTTTTCTACCAGTCAGAAATGAAACTGTCCAAGCGCATCGCACAACTCTATAGGAGTACACCACCTACACCTACACCAGTGGGATGAGAACACAGTAAAATACTGCATGTAAGAGCAATACAAGCAAGACAAAACTCACACACATTGTGTCTGTGAGGAGCAGTACCACACTCTCACACACACTGTGTCTGTGAGGAGCAGTACCATACTCTCACACACACTGTGTCTGTGAGGAGCAGTACCA